GGCAGAAAGATCCTTCAATCCACCAGAAAAGGATGGTCCATCTACCCCCAGTCCTTTCCACGGGGATCCTTCCCAACTACATTTTTTCAGGCTCCTCTGCTCCTGAGATGCTCTTCAAGTCACCTGGCAAGAAATCTTCCTCCTGAGCTGACTCCCAGTAGCTCTTCTTTAATGGACACACACCTCCAGTTACAGGGCCTTGGTAGATAAGTGTAGTTTAGGCTAATCATTCTACTGGTCCATGATACAAACCTGCATTATACAGTGGAAGCGAATTTCAGATGTTTTGCTAGCCCTTACAGAAACCATCTGAACTATTTTCCTTCATTTTGCTATTCGTCTGCATTACTCTACGGCATCCCCAAACATCTAGAGATGTAAATATAAATGCTGGCAGGAAATACTTAATTCATAAATTTAATTAGAGGGCATTGAAAGCCTCTATAATTACTCACTGCAGCAATGGTAGCAGGAAGGTAAGCTGTTGCTGGTAGCTCGAAGGCTTTTGTTCGTCTTGAGCAGCAGCAAGAAATTTTCTCCACAGAAGAACAAAAAGAACGAGTCAAGTGTGTTCTGTATTAAACTTATAAGCCATCCAGGGTGGGTTTTTTCCTCCCTAAATAGGCTAGAGGTCTCTTAAAAGCACCACACCTTACCTTTGGTGCGAGCACCCAACTGCACAAAGAGAGATCTACGCTGTGCACCCACCACATCCATTTTCTGCCTCTGCTCACGCCTTTCCATCCAGCTGCCGTGCAGACAGCTCAGCTGCGGGAGCTCCCCTGCGCTGGCTCACCTGGACAAGGACAGCACCGAAGGACCTGGGTGACAGGACCCCATTTAGCTCTGAACAGGGTAGATATGCGGCTCACACTTTAGAGGAACCCCACTAACAGCATTGCTGCATTTTTTTTTTTTTTTAAAATTTGAGGGATTAAGCCTGTCAATCATTAATGCATAAGCCAAAAAAAACCCCCCATCAAGTAAACAGAGAGAACATAAAAAAGAAAACTTTAAACAAAATCTGTATTACAACTTATGTAACATTAAGGAAGCTTATGCCACACTACATGTGTTAAGATATACACTTGTACTTAGTGAGAGCTTAATCGTTGCTATCATCTTGCTAAGCAAGACGCAGGCAGCAAGCGATGAAGCAGCACACCGCCTCAGTTTGAAAATCAGATGTGCAAAGAACATCTCCACGTCACTCTCAAAAGCGCCCTTTCTTAAACCCTAACAAACCTGATGCAGCAGGGGAACAGCATACCTTAAAATTAAATAGAACTTGGCTCGTCCTAACCAGAGGCGTGCTTTTCAAGATGGTAGGACAGAGAAGGGTCAACATGAGCTATTTCTCCTACAGATGGGTTAAAAAAGCATTTGCTTTCCCACCGCCAAAATGCAGGAGGAGGAAGGAAACATAGTGGAAATGGAGCAGAAGAACAGTTGTGGTCTGGACACCTTTACACCACAGCACCCTGAGCTACACATTAGATTGCGTCTACTCTCACATCAGCCTTTTGTTCAGGCTCAATAGGAACACTTTGAAATGTCTGCAGATTGATAATTTTTTTTTTTTTCTCTGAATGAATGAATAGTAATCAATGCCTCTCCTTCCTCTGCTTTCCAGAACATGCTTCCCTTGGGGGGAAACCACCACCACAGTTAAACGAAAATGGAGCCAGGGACAGAGTTGACTCCCTACACACTCAGCCCAGCAGCAGGTCAAAGAAAACTATGAGTTCATGTTGGCAAACAGATCTGACCAAGGGGTTTTGCTGGATTAATGTCTCCAGGGTTTTTGGTCTCACTCTGAGTGAAGAAAAAGCATTTAGGCTCAAATTATGGGAGCATTGTTCCCATTAACAAGGCAATAACGTTTACCTCCCTCTCCATCAACTCTATAAATTATCACTAGGAAGAAGGAGGGGTGGGAAGAGGGGAAAAAACCAACAGGTATTGTCTTCTCACCATAGCATTAAATCACATGGCTCAGCAAGATGCTTCAGAAACCCGACACAATTACAATACAGAGGCACATCACTCCACAAAATCTTTGGCAAGACCAGTCTCGACCACCACATAACAGCCAATTAGTTGTTTTGGTGGTAGTTTTACGTAAATAAAATTGCTTTTGTGAAAAAAGCAGCTCATACATCTGCTTACCAATGCTGTAGCATTTAAATCTCAAACATACATGCTCAAAATTCACACTAATACTTTAAACATTGTCCTGTAATATGGAATTAAAACGCAACTGACTGCACAGCTGGTGCTATTCTTTTAGCTGAATCTTTCTAAATTATTACTTGCATGCAACCCTGGGTATCCATCTTTGCTCTTTCCTACTCTCCAGTCAGTAGCTAGCTGGCAGACTGTCAGTACTTTCCACTACCATGGCTTGCTTGTGTCCGACTGCTCACAGACTCCTTTCACCTTAAAAATGAAGAGGAAATTTCCAGTGAATAATCCTACTACTTTTTGAGCCCATACCACAAGTCCCATTACCTCTGCACGACATTCGTACGGATGCTTAGGGGAACGATGGACCTCTCACCCTTCTGCCAGAGCTCATCAGCTCTGCTAAGGTATAAAGGGAAAAGCGTCAGAAAGTCGCCTGTAGGTAGAGGATGCTTTGATAACCCAAGAGGAATACGTAGTTGGAAACAGGCAAGAAGCAAGAGACGCAAAGAGGTTTTATCCCTTGGGTGCTACTATGCAAGTGAAACTCGAATGAGTAAGGTCAGCTCTGCAGCACCACAGTCAGTGTTTGACTGAGTCGACACAGAGATGGTTTTTAAGCTGAAACCCAAAGCAAGCAATAAAATAAGAACAAGATGCTATCAGACAGATCAATCTACCGTCAGCTTCTTTCATTACCAAGGGATAGCCAAGGCCAACTTATTGTATGCTCTCCTCCAATTATCCTCTCACCTGAACATTACCACTACCCTAATAGCCACAGCCAGATTTAGCCAGTCCCAAGGTGTCTTTAAGCAGACAGCCAAGTAAACAAGAACCTCTATTTCTTCATTTTCAACAGAGCAAACTGCTTCTAGGGTGTTATTAGATTGTGGGAAAAAATAGATCCCAGGAGAAGATAACAATAAAGAAAAGTCCATTGCAGCGTCCTAAATCTGCTGCCTCACTTTCAGACTATCCAAACCACAGCACGTAGACAGCCGAGTGCAGCACCGACATCTGTACGTTATATAAAAAGCAATTTCACTCTGCTACAGGTCAGAGCGGAAGGTGGTTAGCATGTAAGGCAAAGGGTATCTGTTCTCCACCCTTCAGCCAGCACAGATGTTCGCACACTGAACGGCAAGATCCTAAGAGCACGGATGACGATGCACAGTCAAGCTCAGTACCTCAAACACTGACCGTGGATTTTCAACACCCCGTGCGTGGTGACTGCGTCCATCACATCCAAACATGTTGCAATTCAAGCTCTCGGTGGTGAGATGCAGAGGAACAGAAAGTTGAGTTCAGCAAAGGGATTGCTTTTGGATCTTTTATCCAATGTGATAGGAACAGACTGCAGAGTGCTCAGGAACAGAAGAACGATTAGCAAAGATAGTGTGGGATTCGGCATTTCTTCCCTACAAACAAATCTTGTTTATGTAAAGCCTAAGGGAGGAGTGTGATAGCTTGACAAGATAAGATGATGAAAGTGAGCAGATGCAAAATAGACTGTCATAAACCAGAGGGAGAAACATTTGATATTTTGGAAAGAATATATGTACTTTTGTTTCTTTGGGTTTTTTTTTAAATCATGAAAACCAGACACTGGGTTCATGGCAGGAGGAGAAGAAAACAAGTGTTCACAACACGCTTCGTAGTCTTATGCATCAAAACTAACTGCCAAAATACTACCTTCCAACTGCCTGTTTTCAAGCAAAATCTCGCTCTGCTGCCTGAATAACCTACACACTTGTACACCGCTGATGACAGGGACCCCAGGTATTTGATCACCTTCTGTCTTTACCTTTGCCTACTAAACACAAAACAAGACAGGGAACTGCACGTGTTCAGCCCACGCTGTGTTTATATAAAGCTTCAAATGCATTTTATTTTTTTCCCCAGTGTTGACGCTTTCTGGAAATGCCTGACACCATGTCAGGTACATCACTCAATGAAGCGATCAGATGCTGACTTCCCTTAGGGGGAAAAAAGAAGCTTTATTTTCAGATGGTGCAGATGAAATGAAAATATCGCTAAATGCTGGAGTACCATTACGTGCCCTTGGTGATATGATGGAAAATTAACCAACCTGCAGTTATCTGCACTAAGAAGTCACTATGAGCTACTAGTCCTAGGGCCAGAGCTGCCTTCACCATAGTTCTCCACTCCAGTGGGATTTATGGTGTGGCTAATTAGGTCTCTGATTTCCGTAACAACAGGTAGGATGTTATGCAGCTCCACTTACACAGGCAGACAAAACTAGATCCGAGCACGCTCAACATTTTACCAACACATATGGTGACAGCACAAACATCCAGAACAGTTGTGTATCGCTGTAGGAAGGACCTAGGGCTCAAAAGGAGAACGGAGTAAGGCTGTTCGATGGGGGGAGAAACACATGCTCGGGATGCAGATAAAAACACAAGAGCATCTCCTTCCCTTAGGAACCTGGAGATAAGTCTGGAAGGGAAAGGTCAAGCGAGTTTCCCTTGGAACAGCGTAACTTGTGGGGCTCTCGCACAGTCAAAGAAGCGGTAAGGAAACATTTATAACCTATAATTTCCCAGCCTATCAGTATATAAGAAGAGATACTATTTTGTCTGTAAACATTAAAATAAGACCTCTTTAAAAAAAAAATACCATCTTTCTGTCATTACGGAAAAAGCACTGCAATGCTACTAAACAACAAAAAGCCCAGAAGAGAATACTTCAAATACTTCATTTAACTTACACCCACATGCAGGTAATAACTAAAGGACTCTGGGTTAAAAAAGCCATTGAATAATACACATTTAATAGTCTAATGTGCTCACCTTCCCATCATAACGTTTCACTATAAATTGATCCAGGCCCAGGTCTGAAAGAGAAAAAAAAGATACTTTAAAAAAAATGCTCGTAAGAGCACAAAAGTAAGCATTTGTTGTGTTTTCTGTTTGAGCGAGGATTAGAACAGACTACACTCTCTGAATAACATCAATACAAAGTATAAGGACAACAGGAAATTTTTTTTTTTTTGCCTTTGTGCATCTTGTACTTTGTATTTCAATCATGAAAGACAACAAACTCACAGCATCAAGAGAAGAAAACCTCCTTCTAAAAGGGTCAGTAGAAAGAGTTCCCAGCCCCTCTCAAGAGCCTGAAATACTCACCACAAAGTAGAAGATTTCTGCACAATTATCAGGCAAACATTTCACCCATGATGCCCCATGTAAATGCATGTTCATAAAACTTTTTGGTTTTAATAACACCTTTTGAATGGCTCACAATGGGGAAAACAAAGAATTGTTCCCATAATTAATTGGGATATTCCCAAATAAATCCAAAACTTGTTCATATTTTAGTGTAAAATCACTCATAAATAGATTTTAATGGACATCGTTGGCACATTCGGAAGAAGGTGAGCGCTTCAGCTAGAAGGGCATTTTGGAGAAAGGCAGGGAGAGGGATTATTTATACTAGTAAATTCAATCTCTCACGCTATCACAAAATGGTTTTTCTATCTTGAAGAGGGTGGGGGAGGAATCCCAGCATTTGCAGAGTTAAGGCATAGAGCTCTCAATCTAACCCGCAATGCTAGGCAGGCTATATCTACACTGATGAATGCACATATAAGCAAGATGACAAAAATATTCAGGATGATTAATTATCTGAGCTCTGCAATCCAAAGTTGGGAGGATGCACCGTGAGAGGAGATTAAGCAGAACTCAAACCGAGCACTTCCAGTAATTCAAGAGAGCACAGGCTGATTTTTGGTTCTCTGAAGAATAAAATCCACTGAGAACTTCCAGTAATTCAGGAGAGCACAGGCTGATTTTCGGAATAAAATCCTTCAACAGAGCTACGGCCCATGCATTTTCTGCAACTGTTTATGATAATTATCACATCTTCATTTCAATTTAAATTAGAAAAAAAGATGGAAAAACCAAAATAAAGCCTCTCCCTCGCCTGCTGCGTCACCTGCTCATGAAGGAAGATAATAAAACCCTTCCCGTCTACTGGCTCATAATGGTTACAGTGCAGAAAATGGAGTTATTAATTGCTCCAGGGTGACCTCCTGAACCTTTCTGAACCAAAGCAACTAAACCTCCTCTGTCATGTTCAAATTTCAATTTCAAAGGTCAAGGCAATGGTCAGAGGGCTTTCTGGATTTGTGAATATTCAAGCCAGAAAGCACCTTCTAAATATTTTATGCACTTGACAACAGAGTGAAAATTGCATATTTATACATATTTTCAGACTTTAATCATCTCCTCCTGAATTTTGTCCTCCTCAAAGTTGTGGGTATAAATGCAGTACAATAAGTATTGTCACGTTTAGAGGCAGGATTCATTTAACAAATGTGCTTATTTTACCAGAGACATGTTATCTGGTCAGAGCTCACCCTGACCATCCATCTGGATGCTGATCACTAAGCTGAGCTTAGCTTATGTCCACGTGTCGTAATAAAGTCATTTCTCAAGCACACCACCTTGTTCCCACGCCAGGAAATAGTGCTGTAAGACATATCCCTGACAGCCCGACATTGCACGCGTAATCATGGAAAGCTGAAAAAGGACACATGTTAAAAATAGCAAGTGAAAGTATGTCTTAATGGTACACCCACGCCCCCCTAACTGGAGACTCCTATCAGGAAAACAAACAAGTTTCAAAGGAGACCCAAAATGAACGGATGCTCGTGTAGATGAACAGTAAGAAAAGATGAACTAGCAACTGTTTTCTTATTTTTATATATATAAAGAAGAAATACTTATATAATAATACATATATTATTCTGTATGTACATATAGAAAAGTTATTAAAACCAGCCAAACGACACCTAAAACGGCAGAATACTAGTACTTGTATTGAAAGAAGAGGCTAGTATTACGAACTTTGTGCTCTCCACAGATGTAACATGAAGTGGGCAAAAGGGGAGGTGATGGGGGCTATGACTGAAGGGGAGCCTGAAAAGCACCACAGCAATAAATTACAATAATGGAGTCAGTGAATGAAAAAACACACTGGTGAAATCAGGAGTTTTGCTATGGCATGCAATGAAAAGACACGGAAAAACAAAGCACCTGGGTAGCCTGAGACTATTCCTGCGAGGGACGAAGTGACAGACCTTGACTTACATACAGCTTATCTGTAACCGCATCGAAACCCTCGTGCCAGGTGTAGAACCTGCCAGGTCTGTCCTCAAGCTTAAGAGCTTGAAGCACTTCATTATTTGCTGAAGAGACTGCTTACAACACCATAGCAGTTACAGAAATGTAGTTAACATTACCTATATCACATCAGCCTCCTTCGACACAATCGCATCTGACAAGAAGCAAATATATCATCTTGGTTTATGCGTGTCTCCAAGATTGGGGAGAGACATTTATATGAAAACGCAGCACAAAAATGTGTCACTTGTGCTGCTGCCTTTTTTCCTGTCACTGTATCGACACGCCCTGCAAGACAGTTTTATCTATTGCAAGCACAAGCATATTGGTTCACATCAGTGTGAATGCTCGCCCTTCCTCCCAGCCACGCACGATATCCCCTCTGCTCTACTGCATTAACTAAAGCTGCACACTTAAGTCCTTCTATAAAATTCCCCTTACAATAGCTCCTAACAGAATAAGCTAATTTAAAACCTGAAAAAGGGCATTTACATGTTCAAGGCATATGGTTTTACTCAATATATTTTTCTTCTTCCAATACACTTTATTTTCTTTTTACAGTACAGTTTATTTTCTTTTTTACAGACTTAGCTATGTGTTTTTTCCCAAGTCTTTGATCTTAAAAGTTGACAAAAGGAAACCAAGAAACAAGAGGTTGCCTGATGCCGGTGTTCTTTCTTCACATTAAATAAAAACCCCAAAAGGTTTTTCCTCCAAGACTTTATAATAGGAATTCAGCGTTTGTGTAGGCTGGAGAGCTAACGGAAACACTGCACGAACGAGGACAAGCACATCTGAACAAGGAAAGGAAAGAATGTTAGTTATTACATCTCTGTTATTTAAGAGGCACTGTGCTAAGTTAAAGCTACCACAGGATCGTCTGTGATATACTCAAAACAAATATCCCCTGGCTGGGCTACTGCTGACGAGCTGCAGGAACACAATTTAATAGGCATGTTTAACAGTGAAAAAGAGCTTTTCTACCTTTCATAGAAAAGCAGGGGCTGAAATACCATCCTCCCAGAAATGGATTAAAGGATTTCCTCCAAGAGAGACAGCAATGAAATGCAGAAGTTGTTTCAGGAGGATACCTGGCTGCTTCACAAAGCCTCTCCGGGACCGAAAGGCAGTGCAGCATGTACGACAGCTACTCCAGATTGCTCAGTGACCACCCAGAGCAGCTGGGCTTCGGTGCTTCCTTCTGCTCCAACAAACCCAGAGCTGTGGCCACCACCTGCCCCAGAACAAGCCCTTTATTTACGTGAAACACTGTACACCATCTCACCTTTGCCTGCACATGCGGATTATCGAAGCCCCTTTTGCTCAACCAATCGCTCACCTGCAACGATTTCCAAATTTGCTTGCCATAGCTAATTTACTTTTAATCTTTAAGTACCGCTACGTATTATTCCTACAAATTCTGATACCACCTAAAGTACGATGATGGGACCAAAAGAAACAGCTGCACTGCCGAGGAGTAGCTAAGCAAGTGGCATCACTGTTATTTCAGATTAGACTCACTCACCAATACTAAGAATAAAGGCCCCCACTCTTATTCAAGTGATGGTACTTTTGCAGCACTCTAAAAATAATAATGTCTCAAAATAAATCAAAATTACACTCACTGCCTGCCATATTGGGGAAAAGATGTTGTTCAAGATGAGAACCTTGTTCTCTGTGTTTACTTCCTTCTTTTTGGGCTGGGGAGGATGTGTTAATGGGGAAGGAATTAGTTGTGTAAAGGAAAAAACCCACAGAATAACCTCTTGTTAGTCTAGTTCAGCTCTTATCAAATCTAAAGTCAAATGCTTATTATATTTCTATTGATTAATGAAAACATACATGCTAGCTAAGCAAAGCTAGCTAATTACCAGACTTGATAAATATCTAAACAATTACTAAGCTCTTCATGTTATCCAGTAAAATAAAAAGCCACGGGCAGCAGATTATAGATTGCAGTTTTAAAAAATATTTAATGAACGAGATTCCAGAAGAACAATTATATTATGCCAAGAACACAGTTGAGATCAATTAGAAACCATCATGATTTCCTCTGGGATGCCAGCAGTTTTCCACCGTGATGGAAAAAACTTTTCAACTCCCTCCAGTCTGTATATCCCTGTCAGATTTTTCACATTATTTGAGTTACATTTACTCATCATCTGCTTTTCCTTTCTCCTCACTTGATATTTATCACGGACTCTTTTTCTTGCAAGTAGATGAGCAAAAGGGCTAATTACCAAGACTAAAGAAGAGCCTGCTAACCATGCAATATGCTACTTTGTGGGAGGAGAAAATGCTGGACTGAGTTTTCCCCTCCAGAGCTGTAGCTCAGCTCCTGATTTTTGTATGAATATTTTCCCCTGAATTTAAAATGTAATCTGCAAGCAAACAGTGAGCTGCCTGAGATTTCTCAAGGGGCAGTCTCAGGTTTGTGTTAGAGTCCAGAACTATTTTGTTCAAGTGACTGCTTTGCTCTCATCCATTTCCCCCTCCTCCAACAGACCAGTCGGTCTCTCTAGGAGATGTGCATTCACAAGACAACAGATCAGCCATACCACCCCCTCATCTATACTGAAGTCCTAATTATTCATTTCTTCTGACGACCATCACATAAGCACGCACATAACTCCACCTCTCGCTTGCTCCTCCCTGGCGAGGTTCCTGGGATCTCGTATCAGGCCTGACAGGCTCAAAGATGATCCATGCTAAGGAATGACATTTTCATAGAAAAACACCCCACCCTCTATTCACCCTCCTGGTTTTGGAAGATAATCACCAAGTTACCTCCCCTTCTTACTCATACCCTTTCCCTGAAGGCCTCTCCAGCAGATGTATTTGAGGGAGAACACAGAAGTAAGTCCCCATCAACAAACGAGAAGGCAAGTTCAACATCTCTAGTTTCCTTCTGGGTCTTAAATATTCCAGTTGAACACTTTGGGCAAGTTTAGGGATCTGTACAAGCCTAGGGAGTCCTCTCTGCCCACCGAGCTGGGTTAGCGCTTGCGACAGCTCATGACTGCCATGAGCCTACAGCTCATGACTGTACAGAAAATCAGATCCGTATTTTACGGACTTAACTCAAAACAACAAATAATCGCTCAAGCATTGTCACAATGCAGAAGCCAGCTTGTGTGGAGTTGCTCATGAAGTCCAAACATGAAACACAAACCATTTCAAACCTGAGAATCAAGATATTAGAGTCTGATCAAGTCACCAGACATTGGCTCCGTCCTATGGAGCTCCTCTCCTCCGACACTGTCCTGTGCACAGAGGCAGCAGGGGCACAGCTACTGCTTCTGGCTGAGCTTCAACAGGATGTTCATGGTTTCTTAAAGACCAAAAAAACCCCCAAACACCACCTTCCACGGCGTTTCCATGAGTTCAGAAGTTTGAGCTGCTGCAGAGCATGGTGGATCTTGAAAAGTCTTTCATGCAGCAGGAGTTTTGGTTAACCAGGGAGGTTTGACTGAGCAAGACTGGTTTGGGTGCAAAGGCAAAAAACCCCCTGGTACTGGCTGAGTATGCCACAGCTCCTTCTTAGTCCAGGATGCACCAAAATACTCATTTTCCCCAGGAAAACAATCAATGCAGAATGGACCTGGGGAATGGAGGGAACTCAGAGGCTAGGAACAAGAGGAGGACCGGGCAGGCCACCACCAAGCAGGTCCAAGCACTTGGAAACATTCCTGCAGGCCAACAGCTATGTAAGACTACAGAGAATGTGCCAGCAATGACCTGCTAGCATCAGGCGCCGTTATGGCTCCTGTCAAGTGTCGTGGCTTCATACACCTTTTTCAGCAAAAGCTCAACTGTCTTCGAAGAGCTACAATATCTAAAATGGAGTTTTTGCAAACCATTACCCTTCCCACCAGAGACTCAGCTGGTTTTGGGCTGGGGTACCAAGCAAGCACCAGGTACAAAGCAAGATCCCTGCTCACCCAGCCTTGGAGCCAAGCTATCTTTCGGGTACGAGAAAAGGTGGGAGGAAAAAAATAACACGGGACTGCAGGGAGCACATAACACTGCCCACGCTTCTGTTGGTGCTTGGACTTTCCAGAGAGCATATAAAGATTTTTTTTTTTTAAAGCAATTTCCAAGTTTAATGTCATTCTTTGGCTTTTTCTGACAGTTCCAAGCTCAGCAAGAGTGTGTCACACCTTAAGCACAGCTTGCCTACTTGGGAAAGCTACAGCAGAAAGTTTTACTGAACTGGGGAAAGCAATCTACAGGAGCTAATGAATTGGCATTCATTTTCCCCAAGCTAGCAAAACGCAGCCTAGAATTAAGTTGACACTTTATTGACAATAAATCAAACTTTCCCCTACGTAATCCATAAAAATGAATCAGGCATATGATGCCTTGCAGTAGATTAGTGGTTTAAAAATAAATACAACAGGGACTCAGATACCTTATTACTCTGTATCACTTATATTCTACTGTATTTTCTCTCCATAAAACAGTAGACACATTAACAACAAGTTACTCGCTGAAATAACAACCGGCAGCTTGAGCGTACATCCCTGCTCTCCTCACATCTCAGGCTGCGTATGCAGGAGCGTATTAATTCACAGGACCAGAAGGCAATTGCTTTGCCACACAAACCTACCAACAAATACCACTGATGGAAAACGTTGGGGTCAGTGGGACTGCACAAAGTAATCCGTAATTCAGTTCAAAGCATTAACTGCCCTAGTTAGTACAATTACAGCGGGCTATGTCACTACCTGAAGGAGATTTCCAAGGAGCACTCCAGGCTACGTCACTACTCGAAGGAGCACCCCAGGATGACGGCGGGATGCTCCAGCCCCAACGGAGGGCACACCCGAGTCGTGACTAAGGGAGAACGCACCCGCAGCATTTCCCTACTCATCTACAATTCTATGAATCTCCTATGAGTCAGAAGTACCAAACGGATGTCAAGTACGGAAATAAGCCAGCCAGCAGGTAGCAGTCTTTGTCTTTAACTTCTAGTTTTGAGATCACACCTTTTTTTTTTTTCTTTCACTACCAGCTTTTAAAACCTTTGGGAACAAGGTTATGGCTGGTTTGACTTTACTGCGGCATTAAGTGTTTTACTCTTCTCCTGTTCATTATGTGTTAAAAAACCATTTACCATGATTATCATGATGTACAGCGCTCATACGGAACAACCATCCTAGCAGAAGCTTTGTCTAGAAGCAAGTCATGACAGTAATGGTCCTCAAGACAGATTTTCAAACCAACAGGATATAAGATGCCCACACTCCTGCTTCGCCTGCTGATGGGTAGCCCAAGCTCAATTTCATCTCATTCCACTTTCCAAGAGCACCTGTAAGTATCACTGTAACAATTTTCCTCCCTTATCAGCTGCTTTGTGTCACTGACCAGCAGCATTCGCAGGCACTTAAAGGCACAACAGGCTTCACAGGGCCATTTAAGCAGCTCACCTAGCCAGGATAATAATAGTTACAATGGAAAGTTAGCGGCTAAGACTGACAAATTATTTCTCTTTAGTCACCTTCGCTTATCTCTGAACTAGGTGTTTTCTAAGCACTCTTCCACCTATTTTCTGTGCACACCTTAAAATGCACCGAGCACATATACCGCATGGAAGTAGTAAAAGAGAATCAGATGTCTTGAAATTAAACATAGGATGTTTTTATGCTGGCTGAGAAAAAAAAAAAAGACTTGCACAGGAAGACTCACACTCAACTAGGTGCTACTGCTTTTCAAAGTACCAATTCAAGGAGCTTTAGACAGATAACATAGTAACACACAATTTCAGCATCTAGGAACACCATCTTCTGTTTATTGCTCATACTACTTCACTGAAGATGAAACCATGTAATTCATATGAAAACTACAACCATTTTCAGGACTTGATGAAAATCTAAATATTAGTTCACCAACATGCTTTTAACACTAATGCCAGGATTATTTTTTCTTCCCACCCGCACACACTTCATATTGTTTTCTAAACACAAGTGTACACAGTATTTATTTAGCAGCTGTCATGTAAGGTATCAAAACAGTTTCACAGTTTGTGCATAAACCCCACTCACAAAAAGTTAACATTTAGGGGCTGAGGTTCTTCATTAATGCCTGCAGAGAGAAGAGGAGTTTTGATTTGACAAAAGCCTGTTTCCTTCTTTGAGATACACTGCGGGAGACCAAGAAATCCAATTTCCCATGTCTCAGCCAAAACACACATCTCCTCCAAAACAGAAGACAGGCAAAATCCTCTTGCCACCCCACCAAATCCAACCTCTTACCAAATGCTCAGAACACAGCTTTCCAGACCAGAAAAAAACCCAACTATCTGCTCTCCTGCCCGTTGCCTGCCAAAGCCCCACAGGTACCACAGGCTAAGGTCTTCCCTGCAATCCGCAGGGAATTTGAAGCCAGCAGCATCACAGCTCAGCCGGGCACACGGGGTTGCCTGGAGCCCCTTTTTGCTAAGGTCTTCCTTGCCAAAACATCCTCCTTTCGAAGGCGTGTGAACAGTTCTTACGATGTTTCAGTCGAAGGTAATCTTTTACTAGTAAGTATGCAAAAAAGTCATCTCATCTGCTCTTCAGAGGCTCACACCAACAGGATCTACTATGCTGCAATAGCACTTCAGGCAACGCAGAAGGGATTAGGCTAATTTTGGGTTTGGAGCCTGGAGATGGGATAGCTGCAGGAGGTGCTTTCTAGCACTACCAATCCTGGGTTCAAAGCTCTCAAGCAGCATACGGTGACCAACACTTCTCAGTCTGAAGGATCACCCTCATTTGGCAGCACTGGGCTGCTGCCGGTCAGGCGGGTACGAACTGGCACAGACACGCTGCAGGCTCTGCGGGAGAGATGAGCACGGCTGCTGCGCAGCTGCACTGGCAGCTTTCCACCTCGCTCCTGCATTCCTTATGTCTGTTATTCTTCCACACATCATCGCATTGCCGTAAGGCATGGGTTCAGAATATCACTTTTTTGGACTGTGGCAGCACCCTAATCAGTAACGTCCCCCTTTGTGCCATACCTCTCAACATAATGAGAGCAAAGCTCAACAACATAACTGTTTGATGGGAAATTTAATGATCTGGTAAGCAGAGATTGGAGAGTTTATTCCCCTTCACTGCATTAGTTTCTCCAATTACTAGACACACATCACTTACTTTCCGGTTGTTTTTCATTAGGTGTTATAGATCTCACAAAATCCTGCGGTGTCATAAAAACCTCTGATTCACCATGCTCGTTTATGACTTTCAAAGTGGCAAAGTATCTGAAGATTTTGTCCGGCGTGGAGTAGGCTCTGATCCTGTTCTCATATTCCATCACCTGGAAATAAAATTTAACCAGCATTAGATGTGCACAGTTCCTCCCCCAATACCTACAGTAGCACCTCAGTCCTCTGAAGGTTTTGCCACGTGACAACACGCTGCTGTGTGCAGCACCACAAAACTTGAAAGAAATAATGTTGAAAGGGTCAAAATCCCTCCTATCCTCAGCCTTTGAAATACCAGGAAAATTAGCTCCTGATGTCCCAGGATTGAGGACAAGAGTCTTTACTACTGATAAGTTTTGACTCTTCATGATGGCAGAGAAAAAAAACAAATAACAAAATCCCTGAAGACACTTTTAAACATGAACATAAAAAAAAGTCTAGTATCCCATCTGTGAATGTAAAGCAGCTCAACATTTTAACCACAGTGATGAAGGGTCTGATATATGATTAATAAATGAAGTAAAAGAAAAGCCTGGGAGAGACCTTTGCTTTCAAGCTGAGTCTTGGAAAAGCTACTTCGAGCCACAGCTGGTTGCTCAGTCACCCAACCTCATATTTTCCTCTTGTCTATCACATTGGCAAAATTCCACAGAAACTTTCTTTACTCAGTCCTCTTCTCCCCACCAATCTGCCACTCGGTAACTCTGCCAGCAGCGATTATTTTGTACCTAGAACTGCTTTCCCCAACACACAGCTAGAATTAATCAAAGAGAACAGAAAGCTTTTACAAACAAATATCACAACATAAGGCCACAAGGGAGGAAAAAGGCACAAAGACCTCCACTTCATTACATATTAGAGCAGAAAACTTTCCTTCTTTCTTCAGCTTTTTATTCCCGCATTATACACCACGTTTAGCAGTCCATGATGTACTTGAAACCTTCAGTACTTCTGGCCAAGAGCCACAGGAGGGGAAAAAACCCAACAAACCAATGATCTGCTGGAAGAGAATATGCAAGATCAAGGATACTGCCAAGGCATCTGTAGATCATTTACAGCTTTGGTCCCGTTTCAGCCTTGTCCTTTAAGTCGAACAACTTCTCCACCCTGATGCTTATCAGAAAGAAAACACCCTCTCTAATTTCTCATATTTCTAGGATAAAACAAGCCAAAGGCTTTTAATCTCCCAACCCAGGCTTGGGTAAAGTAGCTTGGGGAAAGCAGAGCCTCTCTCCTCTACACTTGTTCCAGCTCAACTCTCCGGCAAATGCTACCTGGGGACAAGCAACACACGGCATAAGACCCCACTGATAATGGCTTTGACATTATCTAAAGCATTCTTCCTATTCTTCACACCACCATAGCTTTTTTATAATCGAGCCCATCAGGAACACAGAAATGTCCTTGCATCAACCGATACAACCAGCTCTCTCTTTCCCATATAGCCACCTGCGTAGAAGAAAAATCCCTTCTGTTACTAGCCTTTGCACCTAGAATCAAACTTCATCCCATTTTTATTGCTTCAGTCTACAAGGTCCTCCAAAGATAAGGGCATTGGATCAAAAGCAACTGTTTTATTGCAAAGTTACAAGTTGCCATCTATCAGTTGAACCACAGTAAACGACAACATGCACTTCCCCGGCTCTTTCCAGCGACAAAGCTGCACGTGTCTTTGTCCACAGCTCCCACCTGGCAGGCAGTAACTTATGAGGTCAACGTGATCTTTTGACTTGTGATGGCAGGCCCATACCTCACTCCTTCCTGTAGCATGACCTGATCTCGCTATGAATAACACCCCATCCAACTTGATCAGCCAAAAAAAAAAACCAAAACCATAGTTAAGTACTTTCACCTTCGAGCAAGACAACTAAAACCAGCTACAGTGTCAAGGCTAGCCCTGGAGCCAAGAGCAGACACCACAGACCACAACCAACAGCTCCCTCCATCCATGACACCTTTTCAACAGCTGGCTTTCTACCTAAAACACTCATCTGCCTGAGGCTTTACGTTACTCCTGATTTTCCAAGCCAGTGGAATAATTTCTTGCAAGACACTATCAAATGCTTTCCTTCAACCCAGCTAGGTAAGTTGCACATCTTTTACTCAACAACTTCACATCTACGGTGGATCTTTCCTCCGTATCTGTTTTAAGATCTTACTACGATGCTACTGACAGGCCTGTTACTGTCAGGGACTTCTCGTTTTTGGAGTACAGGCATTGCCACTGTTCCTCGCCTGACATCTTTACTGAGACTCTTCCTTACCAGGCCAGCAACTTCACTGACAACTTTTTCTTATCCCAAGCTCAGGGTGAACCTCAAGGCCCCTGCTTTATTGATGTTAAGCAGTCCACATTTTGCTTTGACTTTGGGCACAGCAATGTTCCAACCCCCCATTCAGATCCACACAGCATCTTCAAGTCCACCACAATCATCACTTGCAACAGAAGCAAAGCATCCATTTACAAAGTGGCCCTTTCTGAGGTCACTTACCATCCCATCTTCTATCCACACACACTGCAAAATGAGAAGCATCCTCTGATGAAAGTATTCCTTCCACTCACGAGGATGCAATTTGATTACACAGCTCTAGAGCAGGGAGAGTGTGTTGCTCGAAAGCCACGAAAGCTCCCAAAGCAACTTGGCACAGCTCACAAAAGCCTAATAACAACACAGGCTACAAAGAGGCCTTGTGTCTCACTGTGCAGCACAATCCCCCCACCACAGATCTGCAAACCCAGAGGTTTGTCCCCATGTAGTCAGTGGTTTCATGAGGAATACAGAAGTGGTTTGGGGCTTCCCCTCCTCCAACAAAAGCAGCTGAACACCCTTGCAAAGGTAAGACCTAAGGGTGCAGCAAGTGGAGAGCCGATCATCTCATTTTGCATTAGTTCTCAGAGCAGCTTCGGACAGCAAAATGAGGAGTTAAGGATTTTTTCATTATCATCTTCTTCTGACACAGTTTGCCATGTCTGGACGAAGAGAGCTAAGCTGACCCACCATCTCCATGAAAGCTCAAAGCAGCCCCTCTAAGCCCACTGCAGCACAAGGAATGGGTGTTACCTGTTAAGCAATTTGAGTTTCATATCCAGAAGGGAACATGATTATGTATAGCTACTCAAAGTTTTGTGGGAAGCTACTGTTAGTTTTAATTATCTGCAACCTTTTGGCTTCCAGCAATTAGCCATGACATACACAAACCTCACAATTTTCAGGACAAATACATTCCTGAAAAATTATGAGGAACAACAGTCTTGAATAATTCACAGTCTAGACAAAAAAAGTAGAATCTAAAACACTTCTTTAGTATCTCACAGGCCGTTTTAATCACAACTGAAACCACACTTCTTCCTCAAACTTCCCTATCAGAAGTCAGCAAATGCAGCAACACTTCTCTTTTGCCCACAGCTGAACTCACAGTTACCTCATTTTTGCTAACATGATCTAATCGGCTGGCAAAAACTAACAAATGTGCTACAACATATCCCTCCGACTTCAAGACTGGATTGAATATGAAGCCAGGTCAAGAACGGAACAGCTGAGACCCTACAAATGGGAACAACTCATTTATTCAAGAAGTGGGCGATAATCTGGGTGCGCCGATCTCACAGTACAAACGTGGGGATAAAAGCAGGTGTGTGTATTTGGGTGTGCGCACCACCATTTGTGAGGTTTTTTTTTTACACTACTTCACAATCTGGACATAAAAATCATCCCAGACGAGTCTCTCCTCCCACGACCTCTCGCCTACAAAATACTCCAAAATACTTTCCTGGCAAAGCGTGCACCCAGGCAGCTGTCTTCCCCCAGTACGCACCAGTCCTCGATGCAGTGGAGACCAGCCAAAAATACTCATCCAGTCCCCAAAACTGCAGCCCCATGTAATCCAGGGCTTCCAGAAAGATTATGTGACCAAAAGGGAAAAGTCCCTTTTTGGCATTTATTAACAGAGTACGTACCAGAGGAGAAAGATGAGCAAGTAATCCCTATTGCTCTACAAGAGCGAAGCTGCTGTTGAGACAGTCAATGTTTATGCTAAGCCTCCAGTTAAAAGGAAAAAATTAAATCCTGTGCAGATATGAAAATAAAACTCTAAATTAACATCTCAATTCACTTCCAGATCATCACCAGGGTCTCTGACAGAGGAGGAACTTTGGTAGTCTGGCTCTACCGCACACATCTTATCAGGGTAAATTAATTAGGATTAATTTTCTTTGGGTTTCCTACTGTAATACACACTCAAATGAAATCTTAGCATGACTAACACTCCTAAGGTGGCATACCTGCAGAACCCAGTGAACACTGCAATCGGATCTTGATAAAGCACTCCTAATGCTGCACGCAAACGCTTTTAGCAAGTTAATTAACACGTCAGCCCACCCACATCATGTATTACCGCTCATTAGCCTTCAAACTATGAAAGCACTCAAACAATCTTTTCCTTCCCTCCCTTGTGCAGTCAGGAACTATATGTTGCATAGGCTGCAAGACAACTGCGCCCTGGAACCAGCCACGCATGATCCCAGCCCCAGCAGATGCCAAGTGATTTATATTTCAACTTCCTCTTCACTGAATCACTACCCAAAATAGCAATGTCATGCCTAATTTATTATTTCACCACTAATCAACTTCATTAAAAGCAACACTGGGATAACAAACAAGTGTTAAACACTTTCAATTAAGCTTAATTTTTTTCTCAAGGAAAACCCCACACTGGTTTCAATTAATTACAGGAAGAGTTGGAAAGGGTTTTTACTGTGGGTTTTGTTGCTTGGGTTTTGTTAAAAAAAAAAAAAAAGAGTCAGGAATTCCCTCAGTGCCATACAAGTGATTAGGGGAGCAGCACATCCTGGGAGCAGCCCTGATTTTGAATCAGAAGCCGGGGCACACCTCACTCTGTCATCTGAGCAGGAAACATTCAAACATACCTCCTGAGATGACTCACTAGGGCAATTGCTGATCAAACACAGAGCCCACAACCGAGCCACTCAAACACAGAACCCAGCACCTGGGAGACTACTGGTTACATCCTGCATCAAACCAAACAAAAGCAGCACCGGCATTTGGGTCAGAGAAGGTACATTCGGTCTTAAGGCTGGAGAAAAAAAGGGGTTTTATGTGGGCAAAAAAACCCCCATGAGATCTGCTTTAAACTGTACTCTCCCCACTGAAATTGCTCCTCCTGAGTTGAGCACTGCAGGAGAAAGGAAGGCTGTGGACTGAGAAGGGATCCAGGCTGCACGTCATTCCCATTGGACCTTTTGGGCACCCTCCACGCCTGGCTCGCGTCTTATTTGGAAAGCGTGGGCACATTCCTCCCTGCCTAGTATGGGAAGGAAAGAGCTGGTCAACATAGGCATGTCTCCTAACAACTAGAATAAAAAGTCATTGCTTGCAAACTAATGTTCTCCGGCTTCCCTAGCCAGAAGCAAGCAGCCACGTAAGACAAAAATATCAATCATTACATTCGCTGTATCAACAAATGGTTTTGTTAAAAAAAAAATAAGAGTGCACATGAAGGTGGATTGTTTCTTTGCTCTTTGCAACCTGCCTCCATCTGCTGACACTGGAAAAAATAACCCCCTTTTCTTGAGTCGTACTGGCAAGAGTCGAAGTTTTGCTCAAGCTGTCACAGTACCTGACACCCAATTGCCAAGAAAATTAGCAGAAGCCAAGAACCTATATCCTTGGATAATTCTGTATATCTCAGCATAGCATCTTACAACATAATTTCACTGAGCTGCCACCAGCATGGCACAACAGCAAGAGTTTGGAGCCCCAAATACCACAAGGCACTTGAAATTTCAAGTTGCGTAATCTACTCTAACCAACAACAGAATATGATTCAGCAACTTCAAATGAAACAGCTCTTAATTTTTTATGAAAAGCTGTTAAGCCACTATATACAACCATCCACAATTTAACAGCTAATGAGATGCAGCCTCCAGGATACGGACTTCAAAAAAATTATCAGAAGCAAATCGTACAGAAAGGAATTGTGAAGAGCATACACTCCACTCTCCTCTTTGGCACTGCAAAGATATTAAATCATCAAACAGCCCAATAAAACCGACATCCAGACAGGTTTAAAAAACAAAATACTGCTGTCTGCCAACTCTCAGTTACAGGACTCTCCATCAGAGCAAATCATACATCTTGTAATAAGAGGGGTTACAGATAGTACCGAACTAGTTGTCAGTTCAGAGGAGCCCAAAGCTCTCAGGATTCCCCAACACTGAAGGCAGGTCACAAGTTGACAACATAGCTCATTACTCAAGCTTTCCTCCCCTTGAAAAGGGGTCTGATATGAAAGTTAAATAGGCATCAAAAGAGAGACACAACTAACCATGAATATGTTTACATGGAATAATTAAAGGAAATATTAAAACGCTCCTTTCCACACTCAACCTCTACTTCTTCCTCCATACGCTGCGTATGTTCCTGGGCAAACGGATGGATTCAGAGATACACACGCTGGATACCCAAGGTGGTTTAAAAGCTTTTGCACCGATTCCCCACTTTGCATGCACCATCCTAACAGCCATCAAGGCAGGAGTCTTGATTTCTCAGCAAGCCACTTCTCGGACATCTAACTAGAGATGCGAAGAGAGGTCTCCATTTCAGAGAATCAGCATACTGTGCCTTCCAAATAAACAAGTTGCAACCTAAAGAACCTCAAGGTAGCATGCCAAGAAAGTGGGTTACCAAAACAGTAAGGTCCCTTAGAAAATAATGTCAAGTGCAGAGCAAAAGCCAGACTCTACACACACGCTGCATCACAATCTGAATAAAATGTTCTGCAGGTTTCCTCCCTTTTTCCACTGCAGGACAATGGCTGCAGGTTTAACACATCCAAGTTTGGTACCTTACGGTCCCTGAACCCAGAACGCTTCTTCTTCTTCGCTTCCGGCTGAGCCTCCTCGTCGCCTGATGCAACGGCCTTTCTACCCTCACCGCCACTGCTTTCCTCCTCCTCCTCATGCTTCACCTTCTCGCTCGGCTCTGTCCTTGGATCATGTTTTACAGAGGACGAGTCTTCTGCATAGGCCCTGTACAAGGGAAATTAAAACACTGGTTTAGGAAGCTATTAGAGGGGTATCGAGGCTACAAAGATGGCCCTGTAAGGCTCTCCTTGAATGAAACACTTGTTGCAGTTCAGCATGGAGGACTGCAAAGCAAAGAAGTGATCAGTCTCCTTGGAATATTGTGTGCCTTTCCCAGCTGTAATCAAATTTCCACCCGCCATTCAAAACCCAAACTAAAAGTCACAGTGAGTTTTCCCAGTCCAAGAATGCCAGAGGAAATCACTCAGTGAATTATTGTACCCTCTCCCAAAACCAACTCATGCAAGAAAGACCAGGAAGGGCATACCATACCTCCTCTAGTGCTAAATTCCACCCCTACTCTCCCAAAAAAGACTTAAAGTGAGAGAAATGTGTTTTACTATCAACATTGCAGGATTCAGAAAGAATACCCTCTTTGTTTCCGCTCAATCCATTTATTTTCTATCTCCAGCAGGTGACAGGCTGTTTTATTTCCCTCTTCCACCAATGACTCTTCCAAACTCCAGTGCTACAGGATTTGTGACAACAACAACTTGAGTTGTTTATCCTCAAGCTGGAAATAAAACTCTGGCAGAGCAAAGGATCCCTTTTCCCTTGAAGTTCAAATACAAAGATCTTTAGCGACCCTGTTTGTAGACCAAGACCTCAATACTCAAAATCACTCGGTCTAAACCGTGAGCAACTCGCAGAATTGCAACCGGTAATGGGGTGGTTAAATAAAAAGCAGGATAAATCTGTAAGCCAAACAATGCTATGGCTTTCCTATGCTTTACTTGTAAAGCGGTTTATAACCAGACAGAGCTCAGACCACATTAACATCAGTGAAATTATAATCTCTGAGGCTACATTAACATGTCACAAGTAACAAAACTAACGGCTTGACAAAGTTATTTCTCTTTCTAAAGGACTCAAAGAGCTCAGGCAAAGATCTTAGCCTGTCTGTAACTTAGGCAAAGCTGCCTTTACTTTGCACTCCTAGTGATTTATTTTGGACTAATCACAAGGTATGGGGCTCACACACAGTTAGGTGCTCCTCATTAGTCAGCAGCCTTCAGATGAAGGCTGGGGCTTTGGTACTCCCTGTAACTATGAACACAGTCATTTACAGCTGCATGAGTTTATTCAAAAAAGGCTGCTTTGGGAGAAGAACAAAAACAAACCAAGATTTTTGAAGTCTCCCAAGCTCTACGCAAAAGGCTACGCATATTTCATCCTACCAGTTTCCTGGAAAACACAGATGTGGTATGTAAAATTAACAGAGAAGAGTCTGTGCCTGTCTCCCCAGCAATACACAGCTTTGCAGCAACCTCAGCGCGTCACCTTCCAAGAAGAAATGAGGGTAGGTGCTCCTTCAATTAATTTAAACACTACCAAAATAAAAGACAACTCCTTACCAGTATCCAATAATTCACTAACAGTCCCAGTACAGGATAAATGGGGAAGGGCTAAAGAACTCAAATCCTTCCACAGTACTGGTGGGAAGCAAAAAACTTTCTTATTCTAGAATAAACTCCCAAAGAACATACTTAAGACAACAGTGAATCATGAGGAAAGCAAATTAACTTTTGTTCATATTGTGACTACTTCAAAGTACTGAGTGCACTTGAACAACCACCAAGATCCCAGCGGTGCTCTGAAACACAATAAAAACGAAATGCAGCTGGGTTAAAGCAGTTCAGAGGTTTCTAGTCCACGCTAGGACAGAATACAACTCCATTGCAAGGGTTTGATTTAATAAAATACATGAGTGCTTGGTGAGGAGCAGTACTAATGATGCCTTTTCATACAAAATGGAGTCTAACATGCCAGCCTTTCCTTTCTGAGAAGGTCCCGAGCCTTTATATGCCCAGATATTTTCTTACAGCAAAGCACCATCTTTAAGACCTTCACTGAACCAAACTTTCAGAGACAGGATCCAAACCTGAGTCCTCCGCAAGCATTCTTAACATAGGGAAATTATTTCCCCAGAAGAGCCAGGCAGCTGATCTGTCTCTTGGAGCACAAAGTCCCTGCTGGCACCTCTCCTGAAGCCCTTCCTGAAAGTTTAATCAGCACTGGCACATCCTTGCAGAGTTGTGGTTTTGGCCCATGTGCGGTTTGCTAAAATAAGCTGTTGCCAGCTGAGGTTACACCAGCAGCGCTGACAAGGAAAGCCCTTGTGGAGGCAGGACATCAGTTCTCTGAGAGAATCTCTTGGGAAAAGGTCCTGAGGACAGAAAAACAGTGAAAAATTGATTGCTTATCTACAGAACCAAGCTATTCCATATGCAACCTGCTAGAGAATAGCTGTATCAGTAAAGATTTGCTCCTGTAATGCCTGACTGACAGCTAGCAAACCAGGGAAGGGATAGATGAAATTCAAAATCAAACTTTTTCAGCAAATCCTACGCATTCCTTCAATCCATCACACTGTCGAGCCAGCTGGCTGCAGCGATACAGACGTAGGCTATTTGAATACAGTCGGCTTTTTCCCCCCTCCACTCTAGTTTATCCAGGTAATTAACTCTGCTCTGCAATTAGATCACCAGCCCAGTATACAAGCAAAATGAGCTATGAGAATAAAAGCAGAGTTTGTAGCCTACTCCTCAAGCAAGGTTTTAAACAGTACCTGCTATTCCTCACCTCCGGGCCACAGTCCAAACTACTCACTGAATTAACCACTGAAGGATCTGCTCTCTATGTACAGCTACTACTCTGTGTATTTTACATCCTGCACAACCATCCTCTGTTGAAATCCTTGGCTTCCAACAACTGCAGCTTCCATACTGTGCCCACATAAAGGAGTCTTTCAATGCAGATGTTCACAGTACAGCTGGAAAAACCTCAGAGCTCCAGAAATATCCATCCTGATGGACCACCATCAGCAAATGAAGACTCTCCACCTCCTTTTTTGATGAGACTGACTTTCCAGTGGCATGCCTGTTGCTACAGCTTCTGCACAAAAGGGAAATGAAAATACAAAGACTCCCTTCACTGTGCATCAAGACTAGCTGCCAGCCTCTCTCCACGAGGCGTGCCTGCCCTGGATCCTAGCTGCCATGCTTCAACCCTCCTGGTCTCTTCAGGTTTTTTCTCCCCCAACGAATTGAATTTGAGGCAAAGACAATTATTTCCCACTTACACAGTAATCTCTTCTTTCAATACTTGGAGAAAGCCAACAATTCGGCATAAGACAGGTTCATTATCCCCAAATAAAACTACCTAGCTACCACAGAGGTCAACTCAATGCTAAATTCTCACTTAGCAAATCGTTCTTTGAGAAACTCAAACACATGCAACCATGGGATATACATCCACGAAGGATCCTGGAGCTCACACCAGGCACTGGCACAGGATACTCCACAGTTGTGGGTCTTCCAATTAGAGAAACCACAATCCCTCACTTTAAAGTATTTTTCTTCGAGTGATAGAAGCAGAACAATGTGCTAAAATAACAAAGCTTTGTGCCAGAGATAACAGCGCTCAGTTATTCTCATCCTGAAGGCAGCAGAAAAAGTACTTAGCTATCAGATGCTATTTAGTCTCAGAAGGAAATGCAGAAGATCTAACAAGAAGTTGGGCGCTCAGGAGTCAAAGACATTGCCACCAAACAAGAAGCAGGAGAGAGGAATCCTGCCTGACAGATGTGTTCTTCAGTTGACTAGAGTTGCAACTTTCCCTGTATGTAAACATGTGGAGACATCCAAGTGAGGTTTAAAAGCCACTTAAAACTTCAGGCTTTCATATTGAAACGCAAAAGCAAGCTCAGACACAACATTCATAACAACAGCCAACCTCCAGGGATCGGGAGTGCTTTCAGTGAAGAGCTCTGTCTCATTCTCAGCTCAACCATATTCAATGATTAAATTAGCTGAAACTTTAATGAGAAATTAACCAGAAATTAATATCCATAGCCCAATTTTTCAGGATGTCACCCCACTCTCAGGACTTTTTACTACTTTGTTCCCTTCCTCATCTTTCACAGTACTTGACACCAATGTAAATTAGCACAATGAATTTGTGGCAAGAACCTCAACAAACACACCAAAATTAAGGGAGATTCCAGAGATGACAGTGAACAATTAGATCGAGGAGACAGCTCTGGATACCAGCCATACCCTAAAACAGGTCCAAGAACACAAGGAGACAGCAGGGCAGAACAGCGAGGATAGGACAAGATGTAAGACGCGCTTAAGGACATCGTAGGGGAAGAGACTTACACATCAGGGAAAGAAGGAGAAGCCTGTGCATACATATGTATACATACACACGTATACATACACAGAAAGCGTTTAATGTTAAGGATGGGGGAACACTGGAATCAGCTGCTGGGGAGGATTTATTCCATCACTGCTCTCTCCATCACCCGCAAATTGCTAAAAATAGGTGAGACAGCTGCCTGTCAGGACTAGCTTGGAGGCACCCAGCCCCGCTTTGGCAGCAGACTAGCTGATTTCTCACGCTCCCTCCCACTCTCTTCTGCCGCAGCCCAGTTTAGGCACTGGCACCAGTACGTGGGCACAGACGGACAGGGCAGAGTATGAGGACCTCTGCTTCAAGACCCTTGAAGGGGACTGCTCTGAAGAAGATGAACTTGAATGGTTTTAGGTCAGTCTCACCAGCTAACTTGGATCACGTGGGATAACACACCGCTCCTTAGAGATGACTCCCTGATAGTCTGCAGAGGAAAACAATTGCTTCACGAAGGCCGTCAACCCTAATGACACATGCTGGAGGCATCCTACTGATGTTACCCTAATACCCTCAAAAACTATAAATCTGTTAATTTGTTAATCTGGGAGATGTTGCTTACATTTCCAAACAGAACTCACCCCGAGCAGGGTATGGGACCGTACCCCCAAGCTGCAGCCCTGACAGATGCAGGCAGCTGCTACTCGGTTTCATCTGCCATGCACAGAGAGAATCAAGCACAGAGCCATAAGCCTGCACTCCTCACCTCCCAAACACACTGCTCACTTGAAAATCTCTTGATCCAAACCATATTT